TAGGACTCAGGTTGCATTGTAATAGGTGGTCTGTGGTTTGCTCTTCTCAACACTCACATGTCGTGGATTCCACTTTGTAGCCCCATTTCTTAAGGTTGGCTCTGCATCTCGTGGTGCCAAAGCGCAGTCTGTTCAGCGCCTTGCAAGTCATCCAGTTTTCTGTGTGCTCAGGAGGGAGTCTCTTATTTGGTATCAGCCATTGATTGAGGTTCTGGGTTTGAGCCTGCCACTTTTGGACTCTCGCTTGCTGAGGTGTTCCAGCGAGTGTCTCTGTAGATCTTAGAATACAATGTCTTGATTTAAGTCATGGGCTGATATCCAAACAGGGGATGAGCCGGAGATGTCACTGCCTTGGTCCTTTAATTACAGGTTGCTACTTCCCAGCAGATGTTTGGTGGTGCAATACTGGCTAAACAGTGTAATTTCTCCAGTGGTGTAGGGCACAGACACCCCGTGATAATGCGGCATGTCTCATTAATAGCCTCATCCACTGTAGTTGCTGGCATGCAACTGGTAATCGCATGCTAGGTGTCCATGTGGAGTCAGAAGGAGCCAGAAGACTCCTTCTTCCACTTCAAACTGCTGGTTAGGGTCCAGACTCCTGGAAAGATCTCCTATGAACTTGCTCAACTTTTGACCTCTTCCAAGAATGGCTTTCTTGCTTCCACCTCCATTTCCACAAAAGAGAGCATGCTTCATGGCACCACCCAATCTTTAGAGCTCCATCCATCCTGTGGGAAGTTCTGCTGGCCCCAACCTGAGGTACATGTAGAATAAATGCAGTTTGACACCACTTTAACTGTCCTGGTGCAATGCTATGGAATCATGAGAGTTGCAGCTTTAAAATGTCTTTTGCCCTGGGAGTTAAAATGATGCCAAACCACATTCATCCTACAATGTAGATGGCACCTTTGATGCTGAAGCAGGAGTAAACAAACTGGCTCCCTCTCCAACATGACACCCATGTCAGGACGCTTGCTCTGTATGTGTTCTGGGTGGACTTATAGAGCCCCAGTGGTCCAAGTGAGCATTGGTGATGGTAAGGAATACTGGGAAATACAGTCCAAATATATCTGGAGAAAAGCTTGATAAGAACTACAATATTTATATGGCTTACATCTATATAACAACCCCCTTCCATTGCCTCCTTAATAGACTTGATACCGACGGCAATGGATTTAATTAGTTAGTAAGTTAGTTAATTGTGCACCTTTCCCAGATGCCTTAATAAATAACTGGAGCAAATAAATGGCAATGCTAGTTGTAACAAGTGGAAGACTGGGAAAACTTCCCAATCAGTTTCCTACCATATTTCACCCCTTATGATGTGGGTCCAGCTCTGAAGCTACAATGACAACTGGCTCTACAATCAACAAGCAAATCAGTAGCGGGTGTGTATTTAATTTTTACCCTTGAGCCAGCTGGCAACCTTGTTTAGGTCGGATTTGCTTTAGGGGTAACCAGCTGCCAACTGCTGACATTGCAAGGCAGATGCTGATGGAACAATCCAAATCTATGTGTTGGTATGAAAACATGCAGAACGTGAGGAAACTCCTTATTTTTTTAAAGACTATAACTCCCCAAATGCTGTGACTGAGAGATTTGGGGAGTTACTGCCCTCAAACTAAAGAGACATCACCATATTCTGGAAAAGACATCGCTTTGCGCCTCCACAAGACACTTTGTTTTTGGCCA